GAGTTTGCATAAGTGTGAAGCTTGTTTTTCATTGCGTTAAAACTATTTTAAGATCATAAAAGATTAAAAAGATTTTATCTGGACTGCAATCTACAGAAGGAATTTTTTTAATTCTTAACTAATTTTTTTTTTTACTGAGAAACTGCAGATTTCAGGGAATTTGACAATTTTATGCAATCGCAATTTTGTTTTCTCTTGTTAAATGTCAGTTTTTTCTTACGAAAGGTCAAAAATTCACAGTAAAAACACATATCTTATTTGTGCTTAAAATTTCAGTATGTGTGTGCTTACAAATCTCGAAAACAAAGATTTTTTCCAGTTTTGTGCTAAAAATCTCTTAATAAAATTCAGTTTTATGGTTATAATCTTACATTTCTCATCTTAAAAAATTACTGTTTTTAATTTAAATATCCTCTTCTATGTGTAAGGAACATTTTAACCAATTATAAAATACATGAGACAACCCACGCCTCAATGCAAAAGTTTATACATTTCCATGTTTAATAATCCACCATTTTCATGATTACAAGTTCTCATTTCTAATTTAAAGAAATATTAAGCATAAGATATATGAAAGTAAGCTTTTTAATTATGCAGATTTACATTTTTTATTGTTAAAAATATTATAATTAATCATAATAAGCAAACTTTTTTCCATTTACACATATAAAAAGCTGGAATTTTATAACTTAATCCCTAATAACTGCTACATTACTTTTAAGTTCAGTTTGGTTCCGGAGTTATTAAGGGGGTTGGGCCATATCTCCCGAACTGATAGTCCAATTTTTTTAAAATTTTCTAGAAACATTTCTCTCGAATACATAAACCTTCCTGCAAAATTTCATAAATTTTAGAGAAAAGATACAGGAATTATTACGCTTGAAAGTGGGTGAAAGAAATCGTGCACTCCACATAGTAAGATAGACTACATACAGAAAAAAATATCCAACTTTTTTTTGCACTTCTCGATATTTCAAGGTCACCCGAGTCCAAAAATGTAAAAATCTTGGAGGGAGGGTAATTTTTTGAGCTGTCGCCATGATTTCCCTTTGTTATATGTAACAGTGGGAAAATAAAATGCACCATTTTTTATATTAAAAACTTCGTTTTTACGTTGAAAAATCTCCCACTTTCATGCTTAAAATCCTAAATTTCTAGTTCAGATTTTCCCGTTTTGCTTCTAAGAATCCTCCACAAACATTAAAAGACGTACTGATTAATTGTAACACATAATTATAATAATTACAAATTAATTCTTCTAATTATTAAGTATCGAATTTGCCAGCAATTAGATTAAATTATCAACGATAAAATCTCATTTCTTTATACTTTAAATACAGAATCTATTCCGTATCCCAACTTAGAATTCATTAAAGAAGTGGAACGAGTTAAGTGGGTGAGAGCTAAGTAACGCCATATTTAATACCCACCCCACATAACGTGATACACGTTTTATTATTCTAATTCTAAGTAAAAATTTGTTAATTTTTATGTAAATGTCAAATTAACAAGTATAATTAGACCTTTATAAATAGAAAATATGTGTAATGTATGTATGTATATATGTATTTATATACTCCCCCTGTAAGTTTAGAGATAAATTCTACAATACAATCCTATGTAGTAGCGCATGACAAGAATTCCAATTTATTGTTGGCTAAGGATATGAAATTTCCTGTTTTGTGTCATTATTATTCATTACATGATCCTCTGTCATCGTGCTGTAGTCCTTTCTACAATGCATGAACAGAAAATTGTTCAGTTTTATAAACAAGTTTAAGTAACAAGAACATTTTGATAAATGCCCTTTACTCTTTTCTAGTTGAACCGATGTTATTGATCTATACGTTTATTTGCTGATACTTTTGTCTCTTGATGCTTGTTACACCCCTTCTTCATTTCTTACTACCTTTGATGAGCATGATAATTGCTAATTCATAATGTTAATAATGTGCTGATAGGTTTAGGTGTTAGTGATTATGTTTAACTCTTTTTTTTAATATATATAAACCTATATATAAGTTTCTTTGTTCTAATGATGGTGATATTATATGTGTAGTTCGTGACTAAAATAGGCTAATGTATCATGAAGTGAACGGTGTGTTAGCTTAGGTAGAACGGCCCCATATTTTCTGATTTCTTAATAAGTCTAATATTAAATTTCTGTAAGAGAACGTGATAATTTTTTTTACATTTTAATGAATTTTATCGTTATTTTAATCATTTAAAAGCCACACAACGGTGGCACGTGTTAGAATCTTCTTTCGTGCAGCTTGAGATGGGCGAGATGGGCACGTGATAATTAAAAATGTGGGGCCTTCTCCTCTACAAAAAAAACATAAAAATATACAGATAAAATTAATAAAACGGCATTTTTATACTTTTTCTAAATTTAGGGCCTCTCTATATCCGTCTCTCCTTTATCTGATCCTACTTATCATGTTATTTAACACATACAATTACAGCTAATAAGCGCAATTAACACAAGAGCCATGTAAACTAATGTAAGTCTCGTATATAGTTCATAATAATTTATAAGTTTAAACACTCTTTCACAAATAATTGAATCGCTAACCACACTTACACACTCAATTCTTAATAATAATAATAATTTGTGTTAAATCTAGAACGAGTTTATAAGACATAATAATGCTCATAATGGTAATTTAGAACAATGTATAAACTATTATAATAATATAAAAATTTCATGCAAGATTAGATTTATGTATAAATTATATAAAGTGTAATTTATAATGATTGAATTTGTTGAATTTGACAGATCGTAGACTAATAAAATATATAACTCATAAGCAATAACGAATACTCGAGCACAAATACACGCTTCTTATTAGAAAAATTATGTGTAGTGTATGTTATAGTGTCTATTTTTAACCTGTCTGTGTTCGATAGTATATATATTTTTTAATAACAATAAAAAATTAGAAACGTAGAATGATTAACGGATGTCATTCTCCACCCTCCCTCCCGTTCTTTCACGATAAATAGCAGGTGGTACACGACAGAACAGATTGACACTCGACGCTTTTCTTAACAAGAACAATGCTATTTGTGGTGATTGAAAGGTCCTTTTAATTTCTATTAATTGCCGGACGGAAAATGCTCATTTGTACTACTTTTATCTTGATTGATGCCACGTTGAATGGACCCATTAATATCGAATTTTCGACTTAATGAGGTGACAAATTTCTCTGTTAGAAAACACACGATTCGAACGTAGTTACACTCGATTGCATTTATATATTTTTAGCTTATACGTGTTAAAAAAAAGGGAGGTAAAGAAAAAAAAAATAAGTAGTCCTTGTAATAGGTCTACATATACAGTGTAAGTGGGACCTGCACAGCAACAATTTCCTGAAAGATCGCGTGACGGTACTCACGTTTACAAGCCTTTTTAAGTATTCTATAAACGTACTTGAAATGGTCGCTTTGGTCTATAAAATGGCCATGCTGATGTGTTAGATACTAAAATATATATATATATATATATATAAAGGTTAGAAAGTTACCTGTATATTTTACACAACTTTTAAGTCGTTCGATGCTCAAATTATATACAGTATTTAGAAGCTCGAATTGGTTTCGTAACCATGTGTTTTTTTTTATTGTTTGAGAGGCCTTGAGGTAGAATGATGTATCTTTTTTGTGTCTCAATGTGTACAGTACATTTGTAAGCAAAATTATACTTCGTAGATTTACACTGACGTGTAGTATTTTTTAATACGGAATTAAAAGGAATAACATGCTTTATAATCTTAGGAAGTGTGTTGGCTTACATGCCAGGTTGGGTATGTTTTATAATAGATTTTACAGACTATATAAAATATTCAATGACTTGAGATTTTGCGTATTTGTGAATGTACTTCTCAATCTTTTCATCATTAGCCACATTTATGTAATAATATGCAATATATTTAGAGATCGCGAGCCACTAGTTAAGAAGCGTGGCGGTAGTTTAACTTTTTACACACCAAATCGGATCGGAAATAACATAAAATTAAATTTAAAAAAGATTTGTATAAGCAGAACTATATATTAAACATATTTAAATTGAAACTTCAACTGAATTAATGTATGACGCTTCGGGATGATTCTTATCAACCTCATCGTCAGCATTCCTGTTTACACAAGAATATCCAATTCTCACGGCGATCGCGATCTACCGGTTGATAAGTGAAAGAATAATAATTTAACGCATTAATTCTGAATGAGAAAACATAAATTTAAGCTTAAGAAAAGACAGAATTATATACCAATTTAAAAAATAGTAATAATAAAAAACAATTCGGGAGATATTTTAAAGGTAAATTTTCTACATTGTCATTAGTTAGTTAGTAAAGATTTTAATAGAGGAAAAAAATGGAGCGAGACTAAGTGATGCGATGTTCAATTCGCCACACATCCTACTAGAACTTTACCACAGTCAGTGTAGAATGTCAGACATCAAAGTACTACATGAACGTTACTTGTACAACATTGGTACCACTTCCAAAAAACAATAATCTGTGCAAGAGAAAGTTTTTCGTGATACTCGACTCAAAGTAGGGGGAGGGAAGAAGAGAAAGAGGAAAAAAAAGGAAGAGAAAATGATGTCGCTAAGACGATTTCTTCGCTTTGGGGACTGAGAACACACATATCCTCTTCTGCACTTTATCCGATTTATTTCTTGCCAATGCGCTTGCGTGTTGTAGAGAGCTACTTAAAGAAAACGACTCTTCTTTCAATTCCTTACTCAACTTTCTTCCTAAATAGGTGATAGCGCTTTTACTTCTTTCTTAGAAATGACTACTTTCCCCCTCTTCCTCCTCCTCTCCTTTTTAACAGTGGTTGCCGCTGTTGGCCATTTTAAATGTGTATAGTTTAGCATGTGTTTCCACTAATGTATACACGAAAAAACTAAGTCAAATAGGTGTGTTTATATAGAAAAATATTTGTTTATTTTATTATTATTTCTTTTAAAAAAACGAAACCAAATAGAAAACTGCAGAATCAAAAATTGTTTATTCGGGTGCAAATCAATAAAGCAATTCAATATTTTACACACGTCATCTCTTCAAAAGTTGTTCACTTTTTTTTACGATTTTTTCATTACAATTTTCTATATTTGTGGAATGAAAACAGAATTTTTTATTTATTTATTTTTATTTTTTCATTTACACTTCTTCACTTTTTGAGGCGTGTTACTTTCTCCACCTTCTTCTATATTTTAAAATCCTCCTTCCTTCTTCACTTTTAATATTTTGAAAGATGGAAATTTTCTCGTAAAAATTTGAAATAATTCTGATTTTTTTTTTGTTTTTTAATTTAAATGTATCGAAATGATCGAATTTTTGCGTGTGTGTATGTATGTGTGTGTGTGTGTGTGTGTGTGTCAGTGTTTTTGTGTGTGTGTGTGCAGTTGGAATAATCGATTTAAACATTAAAATAATAAATAAAATTTTAAAAAATTAAAGAATTTAGTTACTGTTTTAAGCTTTTGTCACGTTTTAAATTCCCAAAAACGCGTTCTGAAGTTAAACTTTCAGAAAATAAGTAACAACTCTTCTATCTTCAACTTCCATTCTTAATATATATATTCGTATATTTATATATATATTTATTTATATTTATATCGAATCTTTCAGTTCTTTAATTCTGTCCTATATACCGAAACTTTCTAATTTTCTTTTATTATTATTTTTCTTTTTTTTTACTGTTCATTTGGCCATAGTTTGTGCACATGTACAGCATCCTGGTGCGTGTCTAGCGAGCTACTCTCTCCACATTCTTCACACAAGATAGCTGCATTTTGAAGCATCACAAAGAAGAAACTAAACGTAACAGGTAAATGTAGAGATTCATTGTTTTTTTCTTTTGTTTATTTCTTAAAGTCTGTTTCTATATCATTGTTCATTTCTAATTTGTCAAAGTTAAATAGGCCTTTGCTCTTGTCTCCTGAATCACATCTTACACGTAGAGCCATAGAGAAAGAGAGAGATGTCGAAGGCCTACGTAATTGGCACCATATTCTATAATATCAGATCCAACTAAAATTTTAATTACATAACTTAAATCGTGTAAATCACACAGAATGATTCTTCACAATGATGAATTTGTTTTTACACAATTGGTTGTTCGCTGTAATGATAGAAAAAAAATTTACGTTAATTTTATCAAATAGAGCGCCTAAAATTAACAGGCTGGTTCAAAAGTCGGTTAACCGTCTTTGTTTTCATGCAGATTTATGCCGAGCAATGTAAATAAGGCGGCAATTTAGCCTTAAGAATGATTAACTGACTTTTGGGCCACCCTGTACATACTAATTTCTTTAATAATAATAATTAAAGTTTGGAAAAAAATCAAGGATTATAGAAGCAATAAGGAAATCTAATCATTCATTAAAGTATTCAATCATCAATTGTCATAAATTAATTCATAATTTTATAGTTTAAGTTGTTCTTGAATGTTAGATATAAAATTAGCATTCTAATTTATTTATTTACATAAAAAAATAAGCTTTAATTTTATCCTGTCCACTTTTTTAAGGTAAGGAAACGATTTTCTCACCTTCTACTAACAGGTTTGAAGGCCGTTGTGTCCCCTATTGTGACTGGCACCTGATGAGGTGTAACATAGCTTCTCGTATCCCTAATTATTTCTAGTTTGAATAAAGAAAGAAAGAAAGTCAAATCGAACAAATTACTTTGATTTAAATTGTAAATCATACCGACAAAATATAATCTAAATAAATTATATTAATAAAATTACGATCGAATTGCATTAAGATGGTGTGTAGATTGCAGGGTTTAAGTCGTGTTGAATAACGAGAAAAAGGTGTTTAGAAAATGTCGATACGAGTGTAAAAAACTTGTTTGAATATATTATAATACTATATACACTTTACGTATAGCTTACTTGTACATATCGTTTAAGTAATTTTTTCAATTTGTACATACACAAATACTAAGCCACTTGTGTTTAGCCTGTTTTACTCCATACTCGTACACACAAATATTATATTGGTGTCCATTGTTATATACCACTAACTGTATAGGGTATAGCCATTGACAAGCAGCGTGGATCCGTTTTAAAATCAGCAATGGCGCGAGGCGTCCAACCTCTAGTGTCATACATAAACTATTGTAAACAATAATTTACGTATAACGAAGTCCGATCATCCAGAATCGGACATCGTTACTCCATTCTAGGCCTGAGAAAAGCTACATATTCTTTCATTATGTTTCGATACGGGGCCTGACTTATGGACAGATATTATAATTGTAAACTACACTCTAGTATGCGTGTATATTTTCCTATACTAGACAATTAAAACATATATAAATTTCTGATATATTATGCTTTAAATAAAATTTTAAATATAACAACTATAATTTAAATATCCACATAACTTAGCATAAGAGTAATGTAAAGTCTGAACTTACATGTAAGCCCTTGAAAACATAAAATAATTAAAGCACAAGACAAAGCAGAACTGATTCAAATATATGTAAATGAATAGTTTAAGCGTTTAGCTACAGCAGATAATTATATTACTAATTAAACAGAAGGCGTACATTAACGATATAAAAATCATTATCTCCTACTTAACTGACATACACTTTACTTTTCTTAAAGAGCTTATAAATATACAACATTCTGTATATGCATATATTCGGTATAATATTCACGTATACTTCATTAAACTGTATTTATATACCATTCTTATAATTCTGACATGTAGACCTACACCTATACAACACTATCATTAACATAGTTTATTCAATGTGATCATTCTGAACACGTAACGTAGCTAAACTTTGTAGGTTTTTTTTCTAATTTAAGCAACGTTAATTTTTTATATATATAGACCCATATAAAGTAAGAACCTCTATACAGAGGAACCAAAATTTAAATTATTTTTGTAAATAAAACAACATATAAATACATATTCATACAATTTTAAAGAATAAAGTAGATCCACCATTCAACTCTATAAAAATATAAATAAAATGGGGCCGTATTCTCTTCTAAATGTAGCCCTACATCATTCCAAAAGTAATGACGTAGGTCCACATTTATTTTAGGTATGTCTCACCTTTCATAGGCCCATACTTACATAGATCTGAAAGAAGTGAGATCAATTAAAATTGCATATATATATAGACCTATATATGTACACAATTATATCAATCGATATAATTGTGCCTATATAAGCCTATATAATACATGATCCTTAAAATTTTAATGTAAAATCAGCACATCATTGTCTTCATATATAGCCTACATACACAAATGTAATACAACATTTACACACTTTTCAACCTTTAATTAATTTATAACTCAGATTTAATATCTGCGTATTATAATTTTTACTTCGAAAGCCCTTGTAAACACAACAACAATTAATTAATTAAAATAAACAACTATAACACGCCTTAAATTATTAAGTTTTTTTGAACAAATCCTTCAAACAAAATTAGAATATGCGATCTAAACCATCCAAAACCTGTATTTTATTATCGAAAATATAAAAAAAAACTCGGTCGCTTTGGAGCCTGTTTTTTATAAATTTTAATTTATCGACTCCTGTCTTACAATAGAGAGGGGGTTAAATACTTAAAAGTACTGTTTAGTAATTCTATAAACTAGTTTCTATTTGACTAAAGAATATTTTACTGTTTGTCAATGTAGCAGGTTATACACAGACTGTAAAAATAAAAATTATGTATAATTGAAATCGATTCAAGTTTTATTCATTAAACAAGATAGAGGACACGATAACATCGAATTTCCTACTTTTTTATACATGCATGTATACATGAGTATATACTGTTCTTGCGAAATCACTTGACAGTTGTCTTTCAAGTCTTGAGTAAGAGCTGTCAACCACTAACTTGTTTCTGTGTACTAATTTCCTATAAGAATTTGTTTACATTTTTAACTGTGTTACGCTACTCGTAATTTTATCTTTTTGTGTAATTACTTGTAAATGTTACGAAAGGAGTCTTAAATACAAAAATAATACAAAATTTACTCCTATTGTTAAAGGTTTACCACATTCGGGAGGTCTAAAATGCCGTTCGTGCTTAATAATTTCGTGTATAGGAGGCTTTAAAATCTTACTTATTAATACGTTTAAACGTCGTTATGCTATAATTTCTTTTATTCTAGGATTAAGGTGCATATTTTTAAAGCACTCGTAAGCATTTTTAAGTTCTTTGTAGCTTTAAAAAAGTTGCATTTTTAGAAAATTTCTTTTTTGATTTATATCAAGAATAACTTCTCCTCATTTATAGTATACTAAGTAGTAGAGAAAAAGACTCCATAAATCCCACTTTATTGCCATCTTATTTATATGCTATGCTACAAGTTGAGTGGAGCAGGAAGCAAATTTGTAATCTGAACGCGTATTTTAAATGATGGAAAATGTTTTTATGTTAAAAAACAAACTTGACAAGTTGATTAGGACACTATTTTGCTTCTTAAGACCTTCAATTATATTACTTTTTTTCCAGTGTCCTGCACAAACAAGTCGAAAAAGTAAGCTGCTGAAAGCATTACCAAGGAAAAAGTTATGGCACATCAATGATGCTATTCATATATTTTATGGGCAAGTTTTTATATGAAAAATAGCCTATCTACTTTATGTTTACAAATCAAATTTATCATTTTTTTTAAAAGGTTAAATGTGATATAAACCGGTCTAAGTGAAGTAGATCAACTGTAGATATTTCTTAAAGAGTTTCATGATGATCTCTTCATTGCAAACTGTTAATAACTTGCAAATTAATTTTATTAACTTAATAATAAAAATAAAACGTTGATGGTTTTATTATCAGGATTAAATTTTTGACTAGTAAAATTAGTAAAAGTAAGAATGTCCATAAAACTCCTAACTCCTATTCTTATATACCACCAAAGAACAGTCGAGTTTGTACGCGAATTCTTTGCTTCTTGAATTAAAACCATGTAAGATGGATCTAAATTTAAATACATTATTCAAATGGATGAAGGAAAATTACCTCTTTCTTTCTGATCTGGCATCAACCATCCTAGAGAACTGGCTCTTGTAGAAGGAGGCGTCAAAGAAGCATCCAGATGATAATTTGGAGGAAACCTTAAAAGAGCTGGAGAGGTGCCATACTTAGTCCCATTTACAAAAGTCCTGACAGTAGCATCGTTATTCATATCATCTACAGATTCTTGGCTCTTCACCGGGAATTGTAATCTAGAATTATAATCCATGGTTACCGATGAGGGTAGAGGAGCCAATCTTGGTCCCACTGCCGAATTATCCTCCTGAATGGCCATCTCCGAAGTCTGCTCCACAGAACGAAGACTTCCGGTCGGTGTCCAGTAACCGGAAGTGGAAGATGGTGACACAGAGGGTGTCCTTTCTGTGTAATTCAGGTCGGAAGTAGCTGGCACATCGAAGGCCATTTTGCGTGTAGGAACAGTATCTGATATGGCCGTCTGAGCTAAGGACCAAATTTTTGGCTTCTCGGTCACCGGAAGTTCCGGTGTCAATTTGGTCATGGGTGGGGTCGAAGAGTTGCCAAATTCGTTCAGTCTCACCTGACAGTTTGGTGTGGTCAAGGGTAGTAAAGTGGAAATGCTTCGATCATTATCTCTTGGGGCTTCTTCGGAAGTTTTCTCATTATCCGACTCTTCTTTTTTCACTAAAACGAATATTAAAATAGCTTATTCTTTCAAAAATTTAGCTATCTTTTAAGGAAATTTTATCTTAAAATACTCTAACTCAGACTACTTTATACACTTTCACACACAGTTTATCTTAATTCAGGCTCTATCTTTTAAAAAACCACACACACGTACACATTATTAATGAAGCAAACTCATCAAATACTTCAACTCACCTTCGTTACTATTATTGTTTTTAATGACCGATTTGTCACCATCATCTTTATCTTGATTTATTTCATCGTCTGTCTGAGTTCCTTCAGATTTATCATCCGTATCAGCCATATCACTTGTTTTATTCTTCGGTTCCCAAGTCATTTTGTTCTCCTTCTTCAATCTCCTCCTGGCATTAGCAAACCAAGTCGAAACTTGAGTCAAAGTCATTTTAGTGATGATAGCCAACATGATCTTCTCCCCTTTAGTGGGGTAAGGATTCTTTCTGTGTTCGTATAACCATGCCTTAAGCGTGTTGGTCGTTTCTCTAGTAGCATTCTTCCTTCTTGCAGCACTATCCATAGCATCGTACCTAAGAGAAAAGGCCACAATTATATCAATTATGAAACATTACAAAATAACGTATCACATTATAAAAAAAGCACTACAAAAAAATAAATCTATAACGTTTCGTGTTTAGAAATTTCTAACGAGTGTCTGGTCTACATTTTTAGTGTAATCTATATCACGTAAGGTTCTATGTGCATCTCTTTTTTAGTTCTCAGAAAAAGAAATCGCGATGTTGTGACTAATAGTCACGAATATAAAACATTAAATCCGTGTTGACTTTATAAAATTTAACTTGACCATCTAAACAATTAAAAAAGGGTGGTGTTAGGGTAAGAAGTACAACATATCTGTTTGTTTTTGTATTTTTAATTGTGTCGTGTTAGTAGAAAGTCACTCGTTAAATAAATTTAGCAGATACTTTCTATTTTAGTGTCAATCGTTCATAAATTCAGGCTCTTATTAGGCAATTCCGTTTTTTATATTCACTCATTTACTTATACTAAAACATAAAAGACTAAGCTCAAGTTGTGAAAGTCTACTTTTATTTATTAAAAATAAGCTTCTCAGGACTTGAGCCTTAAATATAAAAGCCTGAATTTAGGAAAGGATCAGAGTAAATACTGAATCTCATCATATTTTATAATCACATATTAATGTTTTTCTGTTTATTCATATTGAAGTACAAAGACTCGTCCAAAATTTAGGACGAGTAGACTGGACTACATCTAAATTCAGGCTCTACACTTTAACTTTATATCCTGAAAATCTAACTTTTTAAAATCACTCTTGTTAATTTTTATTGTTTAGATCTTTATTTTCTGCTCAAGCTTTGGCCAGACTTTAATTTTAATGCTATTTTCATGTTCTCGTTAAACTTTAATACTCAGACTAATCCATTTTATGCTAGAAGAGTTGCAACATTCAAGTTTTCATCTACTTAGATTCTTTATTTTCTAAGCTTTGATCATAGTTACATGTTTATAATATTAATTTTTCTTCTTCTAAGTAGCAACTATTAGGTGAGTTTCTATAATTTACTTATATTTTAAAGAAAGAAATAAATAAATAACGTAATCTATTAAGGTTACACTCAAATATTCTTGAAAATCTAGACTAAGCATCACGCATAATTTCTTTTCAGGAAGTCGAACAAAGGCTCGAATATTCTATTTGCAGACTAACCATCGATGGATAAAGGTAAAGCACATTGTTGAGCAACTATCAATAAAACAGAAACTTAATACAACATGCTTTAGAATATCTGTAATCAACACAACTATATAGATCACGAACACTTAAAACATTTAATGTCTTCGTGCAATTTACCAGTATCGTGGAATATTAATGAATGTAGCATGCAACCCGATTGGAAACCGATACTTTCCTTACAAATATTGTTTGTTCGCGTGAGTTTTCCGTACACCACGAAAAATAAAGAAATTCGACTATCGGTTTAGGCCATTCCATTAACATATATATGTATAGTCTGGCAATGCGACCACAATAGAATCATTGGCTGCTTCCAACTCTAACACTTTAAGAAACGAAATAGCACTACAAATTATATACTGGAGGCATTATTATCAAATGTATAAAATTTTACCTATCTCCATAAGGTCCGTAATTTGTTAGTGCTGTTGTGTCGTAAGCGTAACACGCAGCTTGAGGTAATGTAGGCCACGTTGTTCTTCCGTCCTTCAGATCATAAGGAGATGACTATAAAAAGACATTAAAAATAGTTTGTTTTAATGAACAAAAAACTAAATTTAATTATATAAGTCGATTTATTCAATTTTTAATCAAGGAAAATGATGGCTTAACAATTGATAAAATGGCAACTGCTGTATTAATTGCTGCATATTATTATTTTTCCCCCGGTTTCCGAGTATAGAATTTTGAATTTTCTTTCTATTTTTCCTCCACAAAGAACTCTTTGTGGGTTATAAAATGGCGGCCATTCCCTTAAAGTCTCTATTAGTGACTCGCTACTGTCTCTCGTACAAGGCTATCATTACACTCGAGTAACTCGTACCTTAGTAGAATACAGATGAGGGGACAATTGTCCTCGGGCTGCATAACAAGCCACGCAAGTTCTGAACTAAACTAACGAGTTGTTTGTTTGTATCCTAACTTCTATTATAAATTATTTATTTATATATTTATAAATAAGCAGAAAACGTGGTAATTTACTAGCTATTTTTTTTATTGTATATTAATTGTTGTGTCTTACTGTATCTCGTCATTAACATAGCTACTAACGTAAATCATTTTTCGACTTCTTAAGCTATTAAAACTGTCGATATATTCAAATAATAAACGCATGTCTGAAACCTGTTTAATAAAATCAGCCGAACTTATGTCTATCTAATAATAGATCTAACAATACTTGTTGTTCATCTGAAACAATCGAATCTATTGAAGTAAATCGCTGCCTAACTGTTCAAGATATCTATCTATCAAGTTATGAATATTTGAATATTGTCTCAATAATTATATAAGATCCACGTCTGTAACTGAAATCGTGTATAGATTGGTGATAAAAATATAGATTTATACAAAGATGTAGGCTATACATTGAAGGTTTTGGTCTATACAGGTTCAAAATTTGAGGCTCTTTTTATATAAATTTATATAATATAACACCAGTATCATACGATGTTTGACTGTACAGGATCAGGATCTTGTCACAGCAAATGTATAGGCTATTTGAGGCTCGTAAAATAACTTAGCAAAGGACTAAGCTGTCTGTGCCTGAAACTATTGTGGGTTATATATAATGTATAGATTTTATGAGATAAAATTTAAAAAGCTTAGGCCTAATTGTTACATTTCAGTATCTACGTGTCGAAAATCCAATTGATATACGATCTTAAACAGAATAACTTAAAAATTACTCGATATATGAGGCAATTTACGTAGAAGAAAGTATTCAGTAACTTTTATCCTTACTGAATTAATACAAAAATTGCACGGTGTCCTCAACACCTCACACGTTCTAAGTTTAACAAAGAAAAAAAAAACCAAAGCAAAAATTTAACAAATTACAGGTTTAAGGGACAGGTGTGCAGAATTTAGCGAGAACAAGCGCAGCTTGCACTTTCAAATGACGAAGAAAGCTGTCATGTTAAGAGTTATATATATTATTATTATTTAATCTATTGTATCAGATAGATCCAAGACAGATAAAAATACAAATGAAAAAAGAATTTAAAAGAAGGAAAAAGTTGTAATTTTAATTATATAAATTGATAACGCTACTAGAAACTAGGCAAGTTAAATACGATCCATTTTTCTACTTTAAATAATACTCTTTCATTAAGATTAACCTCGTTGTATTGAGTTTTCTACAAATCTGCTTATCGGATAAAATTTAGATTTACGATTTTAAATTTTTTAAAAAAGTAAACAAATAAAAAAAAAGGTAGTTAGAATGTATTGGCTGAGAAATGTCACTTAGACCGATAAAAATTAAATAAAAATAGCATGTTATCGGAATTTTTGCGTGAAATTTTGATTCGTGACTGCGCTAAAAAAGAAGTCCAGATGAAAGAAAGGGGAGGAGGGAGAAAATCAATATTTCTAACAATTTACAAAAGAATCTTATATAACTGAGTTAACTTGTATAAAAGTTAGGAAACTTTTTAACAATTTACATAACGATTACTTTATAAAATATCCTAGAAAGATGTAAATTTAATTACCAGTGTTGGATAGAACGATGTTGGATGGCTTCCAAGTGCTGCTACGTATCCAGCTTGATCGGCATAAGTCGAGCCATAGACAGTTAAACCAGTTGCGAGACGTGGATAAGTAGAGAGCAATCTCGAATCGTAAGCTGCTGGTAGAGAGCAAACAGTAGGCGATTGTGCAGTATGAGGATCTGCAGCCATTCCGTTCTGATTAGTCTCGCAGCAACTAGTCTGTCCTGTCATTAATATCTGTAAACAAAAATTGTATTAATTCGTAAAGCGTTCGAACAGAGACGCATAAATGTGATCAATCTGTTATTTCAATTATAGGAACATACAAGTTTTCCTTTAGTTACATAAATTTAAAGCTATCGTAAGAGTTGGATGCGATCCAGAAATCCTAAATAATAGCTTACCTGACGCCCTTGGTAGGAAGCAATATGTTTATTCTGTTATTAGCACGTCATACAACAATACTAAAACCTTCACATTTTCATCGTATTATATAATTTTCAATTAATTACTGTTCTAAGTTAGATTTGGGCAGTTTATGCGGTGTAATATGGAAAAATAATATATATTTCTTAACTCATTCATCACGCAGGAGGAGTCGATACTTCTCCTTCAAACACAAACCACCTACCGAGCTCTATACAGTAATTATAAACCCTTTTTAAAACTATGTTTTTATGGTGTAAGAGCATAAAGATGCGTTTGCAAAATGAATATTAACAACTCGACAACTCGATTATAACAGCGGCCGTTCCGGACATATAAACAGCACTTATACATGTAAAGCACGGAAACCAAATTACATTCCCGTGTACATCTACATAGATGTTACACGGCAACGTTTGTCAATTATGTTTCTTTAGCCTTTAAATGGGACATCGGAACATAATAACGGTTACTGTTTAAAAATTACATATATATATATATATATATTCATATACAGCATTTATAATTATAATGTAACAAAGTAGAGTTATAATTTCTCAACTAATAAGCGTAGACTTTTTCAAAAAATATCGTAATTATCTGTTATAAAAGCTTAAAAATTACATGCTATATATGTCTGGAGTAAATCCGAGACCATTTTATGCAGCAATTATCTAATATTTTCTTCTTTTTTTACCTGTTTACGACTAGTTACGTTTTGATGTACAGTACAATAGCTGTTGTGGAGTCGCGTATGGCATGGCTGTCACTCCACTGTTTAGAATTAGCCTTTTTTAAGACTGCAGATAAGATATTAAGCATTAAAGCTGTTAGAAAAAGTAAAGAACACATCAGAGCATGATTCCAAGGTGACAATTAATTTGATTAGAGTTGTGCGTGTAGAACCTGTCACCAGACAACTTCAATGGACAAGTAGAGCCTGTTATAAAGATTTTCTTTGCTAGCTATGGAAAAAAAAAGAGATACTCCATAATTATAGATCCTTAAACAGATCCTTAAGAGATACGTCATAATTATAATTGATGGGTTGGGTATCTTGTTTCCTCGTTTTTCTCTAGCAAAACAACTTTTGCAGATGGTCATTTTTTTTTCTTTTAATAATCTCTCTTATACCTGTTAAGCAATTCTTAGTTTAATAATAACGTTGATGTCGAAATGTTAATATATTTTTAGATTAATTAATGCTCGTTTAGAGTTAAACTTTTTTAACTCGAAGGTAATGCTTTTTAAATTGTTTTAAATGTAATTTTCTTCATCTGATAGCGTACATCTTGACAACTTCCTTAAAGATGCCAGCGTGTATTGTGTAAGCTTGCATGTAAAGCGATTGAAAATGGTTAAATTTTCGCATGTAGAAAGAGAAATTTTGTACATTGCGAGGATTTTCTATCCAAATTTTTTATTGGAAAAAGAAAATAAGTTTTAAAAACACGCATCGATAGCTGCATTCTGCTTGTGATGCAGGTGTGCCGTCGTAGCCAATAACGCGATGGCGTGCATACCAGATGTCAAAACAGCAATTGTTTGAATTATAAGTAACTTATAGATAGAAAAAATAAAATAAAATAAAACAAAATAAAGAGAGAAACATTTATAGAAAACCTGAAAACGTTTGTGTGTGTTTATAGGAAGACGTCATCGTTCTCCACCCCGCAAGCTGTATTATTATCTTAAGCTCGTTGATGTTGGAAGTTAGTGTGTTCGATGATGCAACTGCTGCAAATTTAATTAACTGTAGCTTCAATGAATAATCCGTCCAAACAATATCGTGGGCTTAACTTATAACCCGAGTCACTCGCCTTCGGGCAAACTGAATAATTAAAAGCCCATTAGCGGCTTGTAGCAGGATTATCATCTAGTTAGACTTAACGTTGTTACTTCCAATACGGTCTACAGAAAGTACTTGACGGATTTGTCTCCTCTCCGTTCGAATACCACAAATAGGGCATTTTCCTTGATATAGACTTTTTATGGATCCCTTAATATGAAAATGGGAAAACTTCAGATTAATTTAAAAGTATTTGTTTATAAATAAATCGAATCGCATAATCTTGTAATAACACAAGCTCTTTATAATGTTATTTAATGTATATTAATATTTTATTTGTTTCTGTAATGTAATTTCCCAAATTCTCATCCCGATAAACTGTTTAGGTTCGTATTTTTCAATCAGTAGATCGCGAATCTCAGATGAAGAAATGTAAGAGAAGGCTCAATTAAATATCTAAACAGTAGTTATAGTACATAAACATCAGAAAAACTTATCAATTTATAAATTTTTAATCACTGTTTTCGATACCCAAACAATCGCATGACGAAACCACTTTTGCAGATAAAAACAGGAATTTGTGGTTTGTCCTTCGAAAAGGCCTAGACCTATGAAGCGCTTCGACTACTAATTACTTAATCACTTAAATTTCTCAAGGTTACCACAATCAAAACGCAAAGAAAAAAGAGAAATATAAGTTTTTACATTAAATTCAGAGCAAGCGCGTCAGATCACGTTTTGATATCGTGATGATGTAAAAAATCTTAAGGACGAATAATTTTATCAACTTATTATAATAAAATTATAGTCTACCGATTAATTTTAAAATATTTTATCACTATTCTCTCCCCTAAATCATCAGGACATAAGTGCTTAAAACTTGAAACCTAAGCCTACAAAGTAATCAGCTGATAAAATTTTATATTCTAAAATGGTTTAATGTGTTGTGAGATGTTTTTATGTGCATCTATGTTGCTCGGAAGAGCCTAATTTTCAGGATATTTTGATCTACAAAGCATTCTTCAACACTTAAGTTCAAGTACGGTTTGGCACATATGGCCTAAGCTTCCAGCAATACGGGAAATTCAGAAGTTGCTCTTTCAGATAAATTACAATATTTGCAGTTTAATAGCATTCTATAATATTAAACAATGTTTGCAACGCGTTGCTTATTCTTCAATATAAATAGCCCTAATGATAATTTGGGGCAACTTAATAAAATTTGGCTACAACAAGACGATAAATGCTGACGAGCCATGTAACCTTGAAGTAGATAACTGGAACGTATGTCCTTGCATCTTGTTTTTTTAAAGAAAAAAATAATTCAAATAGTAAAAAATGGCAAACAAGTTCGGAAACCAACATTACTAGACTGTCGACAATAATAAAAATAAAGTAAATCAGTATCATTTATCACGGATAACGATCAGCTGTCTGTTTGGACCACACTGATGACAACTGCGATATATAGAAAAATTAACGATATATAGCCACGAATTTAGTTATTTAATTCCTGTATGAATATTTTCTTAGCCTTTAGGGGATGGTAAATTATAAGGAAGGCGATATTAAAATGGAGGAAGTGCATGGCCTATAAATTTCTTAGTGCAGATGTGATAGCCAGATAATTTTTTTTTTCCACTACTGAAAAATCTAGTTTTAATTACATTCGAAAGCATTTAATTGCGTTTAGGGATTTTTTTTTCTAAATTAAGCAATTAGTGCTTGAAATTTAGAAACAAGTTGCAGATGCAAAAATATGGAATAGTTTAATGTTTAGATATTTGGATGTCTCCTTCTGATTCTCATGATAATGAAGATTGATAGGGAGAGGCACACGGGTTAAAATCTGGCTGTTCTCTTACAAGTGGACTTGACATTTTGGCCTAAACGACCACTGCTACGAATTCTATAACGATGATGGATCAGTAGTTAGAGCACCTAGGGCACTCTCCGACCAATGAATGGACCAGGCGACAGGTGTGACGAATATACGCTCTTTTGGCCTACTTGCCTGCAGAAATCAATTTTGATTCTGTTCTAGCATCCCCCAAAGAACCATCCACATAAAAGTATCAACAGTTTCCGAATCTGATCCCAAATATCTCATTCTTACAAGGATGATGATGCTCTTGTAAGAACGAGATTCGGCATCAAACTTTAGGGTTTTATGGCTTTCTTAAGAGGGCTAGAGAATGCTTAAGATGCTAGAAAACACTATAAATTGTTAGAAATCATTCACGTCTGATATGCTGATTTTCAGTTTGAAATCATATCAGACGTGTGAACGTTGCAAAAATCAAAATTTGGCATCGTAACGATTCGTCTAAGCATCTAAATGACTTTAACAAAAGTTAAATGGCCAATAAGTAATTCAATAAACTAAATACGAACTTGTTAACTCGAAACTTGACAGAGAAATTGTCATTCTACACAAAAGAAGAATCGAAATAATTGATATTTCCTATAAGATTTCCCTTTCTAGAATTCTAAATCCCTTTCAAATTATACCATGAGTAAAATGCATTTAAATTGATCTTTTATACTTTTTATTAATGAGATTTTAATTAAGTTGATATTTTCTAATTTTATTTTTTAAAAATATATAACATTTCTTTATAGTGAAATCATGCAAAGTGTGTAAAACTGAAGCTCGAAATTATAATTTATATAACTTTTACTTGCTGAATTATCGATTTTGTTATAGTTTAATACCTTTAAATTTTCAAAAGTTAATCTAAATTATATTAATTCACGATTAAGAACAATTCTGTATGTTTTATAAGACTTTTTAAAGTAAATTTCTTTACTTATTAACCTTAAAAATAAGGCTATTTCAACTCTCAAAGTAGCCTTTGAGTATCCTCGGGAATGTTTTTTACAGTGAAATTATTAAATAAACAAATTAATTTTTAAAAATTTAGTTAATAAAAGTATTTAAGTTTATTATAAAAATTTACATGTCAAAATAAGTATTTTCACAGCTCGAAATTACGGTTCGTAAATTGAAAAATTCTAGGTTTTAACTCGACTTTTGAAGGCCTAAATTTAAACTATACGCTTCTAAATTTAACAGTAATTAATTAATTAATGCTTATTTTAAGTAGAATTATTTGTAAATTAATTCTTTAATATTATCCTGCCTATAGAAGGACTCTTAAATAAGAGATTTTCTTAAGTTACTTGGCTGTTAGGGAGTCAGTTTTCAGCAGTGCATTGTTTCTAAATTATTTAACAATACATTTAGAAGAATAATTCAATGATTTTAGGCATTATAATTAGCTAAGTACCGTTTATCTAGTTTTAAGCATTATCTAAGCGCTCCAGTTTCAGGATAAGAAGGATTGTTACATAGATCAAAGAGTTAATAATGCCTCTAACACAAAGTTAACACCTGCAATATACTTTTAAGTAACTTTATCTCAAATTCTCACCCTCCTTTAGGCCATCGTTTCCAAGAACAAACCCTGTTTACACTCCTAAACTAGTAGGATATCGTATTTCGTTATGTTAAACTGATACTTTGAAGATGGGAAAGTTACATTTCTATCAAGTACAGTACAGTACTTCAGGAATTTTATAATTTAAAAATATTATTTAATTAATAAAAATATAATATAATTTTAAAATTAAATAAAATTTATTTTGGGTATTGACTGTAAGAGATTTTTGCGTGTTTTGGAATTACTTGTTCACGCTGACCGTGCATTTTTGGACACGTTCTAACTATAAATCGGACGAATCTGTGATTAGATAATTTAAAATTGCTAAATTTTTTACAAAATCTAAAGTTTTATGTACATTTAGAACCAGTTGGACAGCTTAGAAGAGAGTCATTTACACATAAACTTATGAATACAACAATTAAAAAATTAATTAATATTCATAAGGATAAGATTGTGGAAGGAAGTTTTAAGTTAAAAAAATAATAAATTTTTTTATCGTTCCAGGATTTGTTAAATAAGAAAAAACAACGGCGGGGTGTGGAAATGTTAATAAGAAGAGCAAACATTTGTAAGAACTTACTTGAGAAGACGGCGAGTAAGTGTAACCAAACTGGGTGTATGACATACTCCTGCACCCCACGAAGGTGGGAATAAGTAGTAAGTTCGGTCGATCAGCACTTTTGTGTGTTAGAAAAACAGCGCCGGAATATACGAAGGTTTAAACTTAGTTCCACTATTTACATACACGGAATGTATTCTCCACACTTAACACGGGACCAACCGACTCGATCCAGACAGAGCCTCGGGCTTACTTCTGACAACATCCACGACATGGCATCTCACTTTGGGGTTTTGTAGCAAACGTTGTCGACGACAACTACGAAACATTCTCTCCATCTCCCCCCGTACCCCCTTTCTCAATGTAGAGGCCGGAAATAACATCCGAGATCGGACGACTTGTTAACATGCTTGTGCGCTATTGCTGCAAGCTGCCATAGCAAACCGCAGCACCGCCTCCTCGGACCCTATTGGCAGAAGGGCCAAGCCCCTCCCTTGCAGGCAATCAGTCCCACCGCGACATTGTGTAGGACGTGTCGTCTCACATGCTACAAGCGGGTTAGAGCTTATCACGCTACGTTGTAAGAGCTCTTTGTGTACGGTCGTGTACAACCTCGTCCGTTGTCACTCGGATCCCATGCCATCCCCACGCTCCGACTTAATTCCACTACTCCATCCCTTCCTATTCAGTTATGCCTAACCGATCTTCTACACGTTAAACACTGCTTCGACACTTTAATATTATTGTAACACAACGTTATTTTTAATTGAGCATCCCATTTTAACAGCACATTTTGTGTTATATATTTAAAATACACATCTCAATAGGAACGTCTTCAACATTAACTTCGGTATAATGTGTTTTTTCAAGGATTAATGGGAGATGATACTTCTTTATTCGGATTCTGTGTTAAGTACGCGACACATCCAGCAAATTTTCAGTGTTATTTTAATAGATTTTAAGGTGGACAATAAAGAAAATAAATGTTTCTTCAATCATTTGCTATTTTCGTAATGATAAACGTTAATAAAGTATACAATGATCTTACCAGGAAAAATTCCTCGTAATACATATTATGAAATCGCCTATTTCTCTATATTTCGAGACTATTAATTGATAATTTATATTTCATTCTTATCCTCCTAGCCAATAAATTTTCCATACATCTTTCCTCGTAATCCAGTTGCGTAAACAAAAGATAGAGGACACATTTTTTTTTATATACTTTAAGACTATTTTTGAAGTCATGAGCGTAAGAATTTGTCTCGTGTTTGTTCTGAAGGGGTTAGAAATCGCTTAGTAAAGCCACGAGTATGTTTTTTTCCATATTCATCTATATAAGAGGTGTTAATAATTGATGTCTAATGCTGATTTTAACTCAAAAAAACACTTAGTAAATGCATTCTAATGTTGAAATGTATTAATTAGGAGGCACAGGAAAATATTTTATAGTGTTTAAAGCCATACAACAATTGATTTTCGTTCAGTTCTCCAGTTAAATATGGAAAATCTTTAAGCGAAGTGGCATCGATTTCGCGATATTTTTGGAATTAATTTGCAAATCCTTCGTTACGGTATCAGGTTACGTGCTCCTGTAAACGTGATTAAAAACAGATTTATCTAATATTCGAGAAATCTTTGCCACCGTACTTGTTTGTCTCGCAGATGTCAGCGATAAAGTGACAGATGTCAGTCACGTTAAGGATTAAGTAGGCCCTATGACGTGTCAAACAGCTGGAATACAACATTGTAAATGGTATAATTCTGTGCTGTAAGTGAGCAGTCTGGGATTGTGTTGAACTAAACAGTTTGAACAAAGAAAATTTCTAGCTACTGACTGGAAAGATAAGATACAACTTTTCAAAGAATTCTGGTTACAATCGTTGCTTATTTACGATTGTGGCGTGTTTTTCCTTCACACAAAATTTACACTTTTATAAAATATCATTAAATTTTGAATTAATAAAATGCTAATTTGTTAACAAGAATGATTAATTATACTTAATTAAAACGTGTTAAATGATTGTTCTCGAGATAAATCAACTCATCGATATAGGAGATTTCTAGTCGTGGGTTCGGATCTTAACTGCTTTTAATCATTGTTAATTTATAATTTATCTTCCTTTCGACAGCTTAATCTATAAGGAATCATTATTTATTTATTATATATTATTATAAGTTCGAAGAAAACATTATTTTGCTTGTGTTGAAAGTGCTGATTCTTGTAACTCAGCAATTTTAGTACTCAAATAAGGCTTTGTGCACCTAAACAACAGCTGCAAAATTGTATTTTTTTTGCTTGAAAATATGAAAATTTTGACAAAAATAATTCCAAAAATGCTACATTTATACACGCTAGAAGTGTAAATACTGAACTTGCAGTAAAATATACCTATACCAGGATAAGAAAAATTTAGCTTCAGTTATAGGCCTATATTAGGCAATATAAGTTCCCTATTTAAGAGAATTTTCTATGTTATATTCCTTTAAATAGGGGATGTTAAATTCCCTTAAATAGGGAATTTTTTATGCTTATATTGTTTCATATTTATATTTTTAATGCGAAATTTCTAAATCAATAAGAGATAATTACAAATTATCCATGTAACTGTTATTTAAATGATTTAGAATTTAAATTAGATGATTAGAGATAATTTTATTTGTGTAAATTAGAGCAAAATAGAATGAAAACCATCTGTAAACCATTCTAATTGTGTTGTAACAGATAGCAGACTAATAAGACAAATAGATAATAGATTAGTGGGGCTATTATCCTTTAGACTTTATCCTTAACATGTATCAAGGAATAACATTTGTCAGTTAATTATTCTACTTGGGTGACTTTCAATATAATCTAATTAAGCGTTTAATAAATTGATTGTTTTGTAATTTTCTTTCTAGCAGCTACTTGAAGAAGGTGATGATAACTTAAACTCAATATAAGATATAAATCATGTTCTAATTAGAGAAACGAGTAGCATGAAAGTAAAATAGAAAGCGCTAATTTAAATAAGCTTAAAAAAGTTAAAATATTTTAAAATTTAGACAAAGATAATAAAGATTAATGAAAAATTATCTTTCCAACCGGTCGCTCGCGAGCACCACAGACTGAAGCATCGTTTTTGTAGCATTTTATGTAATTTAAACATAAGTAAATTATTTTTAAGGTTCTAAAACACGTAAAAACGTTTTTAATGTTAAGAATTTAATGAATTTTTCCTTGTAATGAACTTAAATCGTTGTTAAATTTGAACGAAAACATGTATTAAGTTAGAGGATAACAAAGGATGGTTTCGCATGATTTCATAAGTTAAAGAGTATTTTGGCCTCACCTCTATCATCGTTATGATAATTTAAAGATGAAAGAATAAAAAAAATATATAACAATTTGATGTTTAAAGGGCTCAAATATGTTAGAGGAAGTAAACAATCAAGTGTTTACAGCACGTATATCCTACATTCTATTTAATAAATAAGAACAAAAGTAGAATAACAATAATATTATAAATAGGTCAAATCAATCGATAGCCTCATTTGTTTATAACATAAATAATTTTTAAGCATATTAACAACTAAACTTATACAAATTATTAATTAAATCCCTCATAAATTCGTGTCTTAAAGTAGGAAATTTTACTATAATTTTCTTCTCTTTCATAGTCTTTTTTTTTAATTCTATAAAAATTAAAAATTATTTTTTATTCTTTTTATATTAAAATAATTAATAAATATTCAAAGAGAATTGTGTAGAATAATTTAAAATAATATATATCGAGTTCCAAGCGGATATAAAGGGATGCTTGTTCTGTGCTGCCCTCTGGTGATAGAAGATGAAAGTATATCTGTGAAATTAGGAAATATATTAAATTTTTTAAAAAATAAATAATAAGGATGATGATCTTTAAAATATATATTTTTTAAATATATATTTATTAATTTTCAGCCTAAAAAGTAAAGTTTTAGAAAAATGTTTGTACGAATGTATATTTGGAATGAGTCAAGTTAGTTCTAAAGTTACTAATGAATACTCCGTTCGTAAAAGTACACGAAGAGCATGTAATTTTGCTTCAATTCAGGTTTTTAGGAGACTTATTAGCAGATAAATTGAAGACGAACCGTTTATTGAGTTTAAGTTGAGTAAAGTTGGCAAAATCCTGGCAGTTTGTTGAGGAAAATTATCAAAGAAAAGAATATTTAAGAGAGAAAAGACCTTGAGATTGTTTGCAAAACGTTTATATTTTATTGTTACCATCCCAAAAATAGGAACAAAGCGCGGTGAAAGGCGCAAACTGTTGCGGTTTCGTAGTCAAGACTGGGCCTATCCAACTCGTTGGAGCGTTGTGGAATTATATAATGAAGGCCCCATTTGTTACGGTGAGAGAAGCCAAGTTAGTCAGGCGCTGAGTGGTACCACAATAGTGTTGGACCATCCATCTTTTTCTTCTTAAACAGAGTTGTCATACACGTGACAGAGGCCGTGCGTGTGTTTTTTACACCATCCCACCAGAAGGAGGGCTTTCCTCAATAGCTTTATTTATATCTCCCTCCCCACATTTGGGATTATATAGAATTTTGCAGTTGTCGTTGGCAGTTTCTCACTATTCATTGGTGGAGAAGAAGCCGACGATAGGGCAGTAAACTTAGAGACCACCCGCTGCTTAATAAATCGCCTTCCCTCGAACCAGGTGTGTTTGACGTTTTGTGACTTCTGATGGCATTCAATTTTGGCTCCCGTTTAAAAAAAAATAAAGGAGTTTCTATAAGGGGAGAAAAACCAGAATGACTTTTAATAGAAGGGCATAGCATATTTGACCATACAATCGTGGTACCGGTTGTTTGATTTCTGTGAGAACTATGGGTGGATAGGTTGTGCCACCTTGGCTCCAGCTGCGATGACTGGTGTCTGGTCGAGGATGAACGGGATGGGGCCTTGTTGCGGTTTGACCTTTCGCAATGGCCACAATACCAGAGAGATGTCGGGGAGAATAGTGATACCTGTAACCAGTTGTAAAACAGGGCAATACGATGTCTGTCGGGGGTTCTCCTAACACTTTAACTCGAATGCTATCATCATTGCCAACAAATTCGAAAGATTCTGACAGTGATAAATATTCTCTAAATGTTTAAAAAGCGAAAACACCAATTTCTCTCGAAATTGCTGAAGTCCCGCAAAGTGGGATGCCGCCTTCAATACGCCGAATCTTTATAAAGGATGGCACATTTTTTGAATAACCTATCGAATAAAATGGCACGAATACTGTAGATTTACAACTTAATTTAGAAAATAATATGGAAGATGATTAGATTAAACGGATATGAAACCTAGTCTCGCCTTCCGCCATTTCGTTAAACAAACAGAAAGAAGGACGACCGGTTGAAAGTCAACACTCCCTTCTGACAGCTTAATACAGATAGGATTACTTTGCAACAGAAGCGAACATTCTCACGTCTCAGCTAAGGATTAACAAACAGGGATTTTGCAACCCGCTTTTTGGCTTTATCACTTCCTAACTAAATGGTACAAGCATTGGCATTAAGATCCCGAATCCGAAAATTATCATAAAGGCAAAGTGTATCTTGTATCGAGTTCGAGCATCCCGTGTATAATGCGCAATCGTACATCTGTACACGGACGACTTTACAATGTGCCAAACCACTCGTACATGGAAGATAATTCGCTAACAAGCAAATAGCAATTAAGAAGAGGGTGAGAAAGAGCTAAGGTTGATAAATGTCTTCTAATATCGAATTCCGCTAATTGTCTCTGGAGAAAGATGTGGATTAGTCAATAAATTGCT